CTGCAATTAAAAAAAAAAAAAAAAAAAAAAAAAAACCAAATCCGTTATTACTTACATACTCTGAGTACGATAATTTTTTTTTTATTACAATCAAATCAAATTTAAATGTAATTATCTATATTTATTTATATTTTATCTATACAGAATTCACTAATAGAAAATAATTAAACTTACCAAAAAAAAAAATTTTTTTTAAAACATGTTTTACCCACTTAAATTTTTTTAAAGAACTGATTGAATTTTTTTTTAAACAATTCGGATTTTTTGTAAAACTACGAATTCAATTACATGTAAAAAAAAATTTTTTTTTTTTAAACAATCAATTGTTAATCAGGAAAATAATAGATAAAAGGTCTATTGTTTGTTTGACTTATAATTAACATTTGTGTAATTTCATTAAATTTACAAAAAAAAATTTATTATTTAGCATATGAAAAATAAAACTATAAATCAACCTGAGTTGAACCTTAACATTAAAAATTTATTTTAAAAAAATTTTTTTTTTTTTTTTTTTTTTTTTTTTTTTAGGCGTTATCGAAGCTCTAACTCTACCGAGTCGAGGTTCGTTGAGACCAAGCGTGGCAGCGAGCAATTCAAATTACGTTAACATTGATTATTTTATCAAGCAAAGACCGACAATAGAAAGAAGTAGTTCCGTTGAATCCGAAGAAAATATCAGCAACGCTTCCGAATACACTCAAATAGATAAAAGTGACGATTTTCCCTCGCTTTTGGTCGGAAATGTCTCAGATGGAACGTACACCAGTAATTCTTCTCTCGAATCTTCCGGAACGAAAATTTCCGGGTCACTCGACGCCGATCCTGCCGACATGCAGAAAAAAATCATAGACTCCGTCATCGAGTCAGAAACAATATACTTAGAGTGTTTAAACGTTTTGCTACAGTACATGAAAGCTCTTAAAGTAAGTCATAGGGTATATTGAAAATTTGCTCTCGTCACTTTGCGCGCGCCGTTAATATCGTTATAACCGTTTTTTTTAGGCCACCCTGAGCACTTCTCAGCCTGTCATTTCCGAAGATGAACTCAACACCGTTTTTTATAAAATCCCAGAACTTCACGCGATGCACAGCAAGTTTTTAGAGGGATTGAAAAATTGCACTTCTTACGGACAACACTTTTTAAAACTTGTGAGTTTGAGTTGGAAAAAAACTAAAAAAACTAATTTCGTAAACGAATTGCAATCCTTTAAATTTAATGATTACAGGCTGAAAATTTAAACGAATATGGCGCTTTTTTGCATAACTACGGACGAGCTACGGATACCGTTAAAAGGAGGAGTCAAATATGTCAGCAATTTGCAGAAATAACTTCCGACATAAAATTGAAATCTCTTCAAGGGCAAATTTTATCATTGGAAGATTTGTTATTCAAACCGGTGGCCCGAGTTCAAAAAAATGCTCTCGTTTTAGATGTGAGTGAGATGTAATTTTTTTTTGAAAATTATTTTCCAAACGTTTCCACTTGATGAAATTTACTAGGAAAGAGAAAAAAACAAATTATTTTCTTTTTTTTTTTTTTTTTTTAGGATCTATTAAAATGTTGTTCAAGTTCTCAAAGCGATCAGGAAGCATTAAAAGAAGCATTATCACTAACGAAAACATTTTTAGATTCATTTAACATGATTGAAACGAAAAAAATGTTTGGTCACGAGGATCGAGCTCAAAGAAGACTTGTAAAGGTGCGACATTTTTCCCTCATAATATTTATATATTTATTACAAAGAAACAGGAGGCATTAATATATAATTTGTATTTGTATTTTAACGTTTAGAATTCTTTCATGGTTGAATTATGCGAGGGCCATAGAAAATTACGTCACTTATTTTTATTTAACGATGTTATGGCATGTGCCAAATATAAATCTACAGGAAGGGGTAAAATTACTTTCGAATTAAAATGGTGAGTTTTTACGTTATGTCAATAGTAGAATTAAACGGTGAAAATGTTAATAAATACAGAACCTTATCTTGTTTTCAGGTATATACATTTAAATGATTTGATTATTTTAGAAGAAACTGCAAACGAGCCAAAAGAAATTTCACCTCCGAATTTGTTATCTTTAAAATCTCAAGTAAATCTTTTTTCTTTTTGTTTAAATTAAATAATAATGCGATTCGAGTTACAAACGTGTAATCGTTTTTTTTTTTTTTTTTTTTTTTTTTTAGGCTTGCACAATCAGAGATCAAATTTTGAGGGATGAGGAAAAGAGAAAATCGGGACTCGAAAAACAGAGAAAAAAATTAGCCGCGTTGGAAGCTCAATTGGTTTTAGCTTATCCAGATTTAGTTTTAAGGGTTGGACAGCGAAGTAATCGTTTGTACACATTTTTACTGTCGTCGGAATTCGAAAGAACTCAATGGATCGAAGCAGTTCATAATTTACAAGTAAAATTTTATCACTGTGTAAACACGCACGTGCGTGTTACGTGCTCGTGTTTGTTGATTTTGTTTTTAATATTTTCTTAATAATATTTTCCGTAGAATACTTTTCAACAAAGTCATTTACCCGGTCCGAAAAACAATTCCGTGAGCATGGTAGAACTTCAAGCGTGGGTGACAGCTTGCAGAGCATTTTTAAAAACAAACATGGGATCTTACCTCATGCGAACGGTTCAAGATGAAAGTTTGCTACGGGGAGACTTGCACGTGACTCTGGGATACCTTCACGGATTATCTCATCCGATGGATTTGTTTTTGGTACTCGAAGTGGACAGTTACGGTCATTATTTTCGAAAAGCGAGAAGTAAACTCATTTGTAGATCCCTAAATCCCAGATGGGATCAAAGTTTTGTCATCGATCTAGAGGGGAGTCAAAATCTTAGAATACTTTTGTACGAGGAAGCTCAAGAAAGAACGATACTGAGGGGAAAATCAACTCGAAAGGTAAAGACAAATTTAAAAAAAAAAAAAAAAAAAAAAAAAAAAACATTTAAAATATTTATTTAAACATTTTTTATTTAGCTTTCCGTGTCTTGGCTGGGGCCGAATGAAGTTGCCAAAAAAATAAGTTTAAGTGCCGGCGTCACATTAGTTATGAGGCTGAGATTTCAACCGGCTGATGTATCCCTAAGAAGGATACCCCAATCCAAACCTTTGGGATTCGGTAGTAAAATACAACAAGTTTGTCGGTGAGGATCTTAAAAATGAATGAATGAATTATTCAAAGAGCGTGAAATTTATTATTTAATTTTTTTTTTTTTTTTTTTTTGTGGTTTTGGGCACGCTTAGGAGAGAAGACAGAAGTGTGCCGTTCATAATAACGAGTTGCGTGAGGGAGGTTGAAAGAAGAGGGATGACGGAAGTCGGGATTTACAGAGTTTCCGGTTCCGCATCCGATTTAGCAAGACTAAAAAGATCCTTCGAAACGAGTGAGTTTATTTAGTATCAATTATGTATTACTCTATGGATAATGTATAATCGGTTTATTATTATTATTATTATTATTATTATTATTATTATTTAAAGATTGCTACGAAGCCGAACAATTGCTCAAAGAAGTTTGTGTACATTCCGTGACGGGGATATTAAAATTATATTTGAGAGAATTACCCGAAGCACTTTTCACGGATTCCAATTACGAAAAGGTTCGTGGATCCTGGGTCGATTCGTTTTAATTTTAATTTAAATTTTTTTAATAATAATAATAATAAATTGAAATTCAAAAAAATATTTTCAGTTTTTACACGCGTGGAATTTGGGAGAAAATCAAAGAGACGGAGCGTTATCGAGTTGTTTTCAATCTCTACCAATACAAAATCGCGAGATTATTAATTTTCTTCTAGATCATTTAATTAGGTAATTAGAATTTTTTTAAAGTAGATATCTATCATTAAAAATATCAATTAATTATTATTATTATTATTTACGCGGCGGACGACAGAGTAAATCAACACGAATCGGCGAATAAAATGAGCCTACACAATTTGGCCACCGTTTTCGGGCCCACATTGCTACGACCGAGTTCGAAAGAATCCAAATCCCGGGATTTGCTGGCACAGGGAACGTGTGACGTCATGGCTCAAGCGGGGATTTTGCATCACTTTTTAATGCAGAGACACGTTCGGTAGCTACTTCCCAGCGCACCGCCCGCGTCAGAGGTGTTTGGGTTTCAAAGCGAACCGAAAGAGTATTAAAAAGAAAAACTATTCCATCGTGCGTTTACATAATAACATACACAGTCAGTTCTACACGTGCACACACACATACACAGTCAGTCCTACACGTGCACACACACACACACACACAATAATAAAATACGTTTATATATGTACATATACATAATAATAATTTTTAGTCATTAAATAGGGAAAAATAGGATAAGTAATGATTTGCAATAAAAAAAATATTATTAAATTATTTAATTTTATGTAATTAATAGGAAAAAAAGTCGATGCCAAAATATTTTGTTGCTTTAAAAAAAAAAGAAACAACTACTTCCGGTGTGTATACAATTTAATTTTTACGTTATTATTTTATTTTATTTTAGATTTAAATATAACGATAAATATATATTGATGATAATTTTATTATTAATATTATTATTATTTTAATAATTAAATTTATTCATTTATTAAAAAGAAATTTTTATTTTTATTTTATTTGAAAGTAAAGAAAAAATTGATCGATTGTGGTCGTTTATTAAAAATGTTTTCGTTTATAGAGGAAAGAAAAATAATAATAATAATAATAATAAAGTATATAGCAATAAGAGAAAATACATTTTTGTTTGCTTTTAAAGTTATTCAGGGTAGAAATTTTAATAATAATAATAATAATAAAAGTCAATTGATTACGTCACTGCCAATGAGCGTAGCTTGCATTTGATATAAAAATATACATATATTTTTTAAATTGTAATTTTTAATTAATTAATTAATTAATAGGATAAATAAATAAATAAATAAATAGATTAATAAAAATCATTTTATTAATGAGCGTTATCAATATAAATAAAACGCAATAGAATATTTACTCTTAATTAAATCCTATGTATTTAGGTTTTTAAAAAAAACAATAATAATAATAATACTTAAACTTCTTTATTAATAACATTTGTATATTTAAACATATTAATTTACACACGCACACGCACACACACACACTTATATACACATATATATATATTTATATAAATATAAAAATTTATAATTTTTTCTTTATGTCGTCTTTATGTTTTTGTGGTAAATGGTTCGATGTTTTTTTATGATTGTATTAAAATTGATAAAATTATTATTATTATTATTATTATTATTATTATTATTATCATTAAATAATTTTTTGTTTATAATAATTAGAGTAAAAAAAATTAATGATGTTTGTTGCAATATGGAAAGAACAAGAAGAAACATTAAAGGCTGTTTTAACTGCAGTTTATTATAATAATAATAATAATTTTTATTATAAATTTTTTATTACGTTTCAGGTACGGAGAAAAAATTTTATTAACACACGCGTTAGGTATACGCACGTACAATAAATAAGGTATGAAATGTTTTCAATTTTCTTCTTCTTCTTTTTCTTTTTCTTTTTCGTTTAACTTAACGATTCGAATAATAATAATGATAATAATTTTTTCAAAATTTTATATTTTTTAATAATAATAATAATAATAATAAATGCTCACGTGGGTAGTAGCCTTTTTACAAAAAATCAGGTTATATAATTAATAATGATGATGATGATAATATTCGTAAAATTTGCCTTTGATGAAATAATAATAATAATAATAATAATAAATGCTCACGTGGGTAGTAGCGTTTTTACAAAAAATCAGGTTATATAACTAATAATAATGATGATGATGATAATATTCGTAAAATTTGCCTTTGATGAAATAATAATAATAATAATAATAATAATTGTACCTGTAAATGTACATAAAACGTTTGATTTGTATTATATAAATATATTAAATAAATATATGTAAATAATAATAATAATAATTAAATAATTTTTTTTCGAATTTGTTGCCATTCGTGTTTATGTTCTTTTAATATGATTCGTGTCAAACTCTCGTCCTGGAAATGACAAAACAAAGCGTTTCCGGTTATTTTCATTGAGAAAATTTATAAAAATTGATTATTAAAAAATAATTACATACTCGACGACTTGATCGTTATTACTGTAAATAAATAAATAAATAAATTGGATTAGTTGTCGGTTTTTTCGTAAAAAAAATTATTATTATTATTATTACCACCTTTTCCATTGTGCATCGTTGACGTCATCATTTTGATTTTCAATTTGTTTTCCGTTTGTTTTATCATTTGTCGTAGTTTTACTCGTTGATTGTTTATGATGTTGAAATTGTTTATGTTGTTGATTGTTTCTCAATGAAAAATATGTTGAAACGCTTTTCATTACGACAGCTCTAACCTGTTGGGGGGAAAATTTTTTTAAAATAATTTTCCTTTTAAATTTAATGGGGATCTCTCTCTCTCTCTCACTCACCTCTCCGTTTAAAAAACAATATAAAAACGCAATGAAAAAACCTTGGAATGATGTTAGGAAATGCGTTCCATATGACCATAAAGCAAATTCCCAAACTGATTTTTCCAACGGGGATTTACTCATGCTTATTATGTTTGTTATACCTAAAAGGGGTAAAAGAACAGCCGTTGCACGAACTGCTTTCCTAAAAGAAAACCAAAATTGTGGATCTTTTGATCTCTGTTTGTTTTCAATTTCAATTTCAATTTAATAATTTTTATTTTTACCTGACTTGTTCGATTTCGCTTTTTCTACTCTGTCGTAATTTAACAACGAGCACACGAATTATATTTAAAAGAAATAAAAAATTTAACTGAAATTATTAAAAAAATAAATAAAAATAAATAAACAAATTGTTTTTTAAATTGAAAATGATTTGATGGAAAATTTACCACGACGACGGTTAATCTTGGTCCTTCTAATATCCAAAAATAAATTGTTAAATTATATCCCCACCAACATTTGGACGTTTTGTAATATGTTATCATGACTAAAATCCAGGCACTCGTTATTATTATTGGGGATCCCCAACCAATTATCGAATACATCGTATAATAACTTTGTTCTTTGTGAAAAACTGTAACTGATATAACATAAATTTAAAAAATTATAATATTTATAAAATTTTTTTTTTTTTTTTTTTTTTATAATTAAACCTGTTATCATGTTATGAAGATAAAGACCCTCGACAAACATCCACATAAACATGGCCGTCCTTGCATATTCTAATAAAATGTATGATATTTCGCATAAAAATGGCTGGAAAAAAAAAATTTTTTTTTTTTTAATAATTTTTTGACAATTCTATTCTTTTTTTTTCTATTTGATGATGAAAAATAGGTACCGTGTCGTGTATTCCTTGCCAAAAATTAATTTTTTCTTTTACTATAACTTGATCAATGTATAAACTCAATCTAACGACAACTTGTATTTCCATAGCAATAAATAAATTTTTATGTATTCTCGTTCTACTGTTTCTTAATCCCCTAAAATAATAACCAATTATTATTATTATTATTTACAAAATTTTGTGTTTTTAGGTAATGAATAAATGCGTCGTCGTCACCTGAATCTGAAAAAAATGGCCAGAGAAAATAATAAGGCAATGAGAGATACGGAAAATCCTACGATTTCCAACGTTCTCGTTTTTTCCGCAATGTCCAATTTTATCTTGGCTGTATCTTCGGAGTCTGCATATAACATTTTAAACAATTGCCAAGTTTCTGGAGTGAAACACGTCGTGTAATTGGTCCATCCTTGTGGTGAATCGTCATGACCTTTTATTCTACCCTCCCAACGTCCTCCAGGTAAACATTTTTTATATACTAATTCTGTAAGAGTTTTAAAATAATTAATATATTTTTTTTTTTTTTGTCCTCCTTAATTACATAAATATAATAATTACGTAAGTCTAAATAATAATAATAATAATAATCAAGACATTATAATTAATTATTGAAAATAATTAAGAAAAAAATTACGGGATTTGTTACACAAAAAAAGGAAAAAATTTAATCAACCTTTTTGGATTTATTCAAGATTTACTGTTTCTCTCTCTCTCTCTCTCTCTCTCTCTCTCTCTCTCTCTCTCTTAGAATTCATTAATTATTTAATAAAAAATTTAAATAAAAAAATTCTTTCTTAAAATTATTATTATTATTACAACGCGTAACAAACAAAATAATAATAAGTAATTAATTAATTTTATTTTTTTTATTTATATATATTACGTAATTATTTTACAAAAAATTATTATTATTATTATTTAAAATGAATCGATAAGGGTAAAGAAAAATATTAATAATAATAATAAATAAATAAATAATGGCTTCTTCTTCTTCTTCTTTAAAAAAATTAATAATTCGAATTGAATTAACATAAAAAATAATTTGTTTGGCTTCGGAAAATATTTTTAATAAATATATTTATGTATGAGAAAATAAAAAAATAAATTATTAATAATATTTAAACAAAAATATAAACAAAATGTCAAAATTTTAATAAAAAATATAAAAATCGTTTTTATTTTGAAAGAAAATATATATAAATAAATTCTCTCGAAAGTTCTTTATTAATTCGTATTTATCAAAAAATAAATAAATTTATAAAATGGACGAAAAAGTAATAAATATAACCGGAAAAGCGGAAAAACGAGGGGAGAGGGGGGTGGGAAACGAGAAAAACAACAAAAAACAATAAGGGGAAAAATTATGCAAAATGTAAATATTGTTTTTTTGTTTTGATTTAATTTTTACCTTTTTTTCGCGTTTTCTTTCTACCTTTTTTTTTTTTTAACCGAATTAATTTATATTAATTTAAAATATATAATATATTTTTTTTATTAATATAATAATATAATAAAAAAACTTACTCGATGGATCGATTCCTCTATCTTTTGGACAATTTTGAACAGCGACGGTATCTTCTTTTGTCGGTGGCCAACACAATACGGAATCCCACGTCCAATTACAATATATTTCTAAATAAATAAATAAATAAATTATTAATCGTTAATAAATAAGTTAAATAAAATATTTTTTGTTTGTTTGTTTGTTTACCTCCATTAGGCGGTAGAAAATTTTTAAATTTTTCAACGCAAATTTCAACGGTTTTATTTAAATATTCACCAGAAGACATTTTCTCAGCTGTGTTGATCTTAAACAAAAAAAATTATGTTGTTAAGTTTGATTTCCTATTAATTAATAAAAAATTATTAAACAATAAAATCCGTTTGTTAATATTTTTTAGTCTTTTTTGTTAATAAAAAATTGTTTAAAAAAAAAACAAAACAAAAACAAAAGCTTTCATTCAAAGATTATATAAGTAACAGGAAAAATTAATAATAAATAGGGAGAATAAAAGAGAGAGAGAGAGAGAGAGAGAGAGAGAGAGAATACTAAATAACATAATAATAATATATATTGAAAACAATATATATATATATATATATTTTAAAATTAAAAAACGATTAAACGTTTAAAACGACGACATTTTTCAATCTAATTAATAAAAAAAAAAAAATCGTAAGGAAAATAATGACATAAAAGATTTTCTTTTTTTTTAATATATTAAAAATAAAATTATTATATGTAAAAGAATTAAGAAAAAATTAATCAATTTTTTTTTTAATAACGTGAATGACGATTGACGACATTTTCCATTTTCTTTTATATAAAAAGAATTTTCTTTTGTTAACGACAGAAAAAAAAAAAAAAAAAATCTTTTAACAGATGCGAATGTAAACCACATGAAAAACCGCAACTTTCGGAAAAAGGTTCGACCTTTTTTATTTTATTTTATTTTTTTTTTATTTTTTACGACATTAATTTTACATAATATAGAAAATATCGTATTTATATTATAAAATTACAAGAATAAAATTTAAGAAGGAAATTATTTAAAAAAAAAAAAAAAAATGATTAAAAAATTTACGAAAGCGGTTACGAAAACGGTTACGAACTTGGGATTTTTTTTTTAATAAATAAATAAATAATTAATTTTTTAATTTAACTTTATCTAATATTAAAATAATTAAACATTTAAACGGTTTTTATAATTTAATTATTCGTTAAACATTGGCTCTCACTTAAATCCATCATTAATTATTATTATTATTATTCGTTATAAATTTCCGTTAACGAATTTGAAAATTTAAATTTGAATTTTGCGTGGAACGTTTTTTTTTAACGACAAGTACCTCATTAACGTTTTATTTTTTTCATCTTTTTTTTTTTTTTTAAATGAATTTATGAAATAATTAGGGTAAAAAACTTACCGATCGGATAAAATATTTTAGTAAAAAGTTTAAAATGAAAAAATCAGAACATTTTTTATAAATTAATTTAAAAAAAAAAAAATTATTATGAATGTATTTTGAATGTGCAATTTAAAACGTTTAAAATTAAACGAATTTTTTTTTTAATTTTTCCGGATTACAACGATCACTCAACTTAACGAATTTTAAAATTAAATTAAAAGAGTAACGAATTATTATAAAAACAAAAAAAATAATAATAAAATTAAATAATTATAATAAAATAATTTGGACGAAGAAAAAAGCTCAGAAACTTTTCGCGGCGAATCACTGACTAAAATTCATAACTGAAATTTTCCACCGCCTTTTTTGAAAATGAATAAAAACAAAAAAAAAAAAGGTGGCAGCACTTGATAAAATGAATTTTCTTTTTAAGGAATAAAGGAAATGTTTTTGTTAAATGAAAAAACGTTACGTAAATAATAATAATTAACGTAACAATATGGCGGACGTTAAAATTATAAAATACATAAAAAACGTAAAAAATATTAACGTTTGATTATTTTAAACGGATTTTTATTACCGTAATAAAAATAAAAAAAATTATTAATTTAAAAAATATAAACATTTTCCCTTTTTCTTTTTATTCAAATTTAAACATAAAGTAAATTACTCAAATGTATAAGATTTAAATTATTAAAAACGGTTTGTTTTCTTTTTCTTTCTTTTTTTTTTTTTACGAACGGGAAATCAATAGAAAAACAACAAAAGAAAAACTTTTCACAGTTTATAAAAATTTCATTGAATGAGACAAAAAAAATATAAATAAAATAAATACATAAAAATTTTTTTAAAAAAAACGTGATCGTTTACGTTTGTATTTGAAAACAAAAAAAAAAAAAAACATTTTTTTTTTTCCCTCCTATTTAGAAAAATATGAATGCATTTGACATTGAATTCTTTTACATAATCATTATTTTATTATTATTGTTTTAAAATTTTCGAGTAAAAGGAATAACTTTTATTATATTTAACAAAAGAACAATATTTAGAGAGGAAAAGATTGAAATGTAACTAAATTTTATAATATTATTATTATTATTTTTAATTTTCCGTCGGTAATTTTATTTTCTTTCGAAAGATAAAATATTTATTAAAATCATATTTAAAAAAAAAATTCGCTAATATTTATTAATAAATAATAAATAAATAATATTTTTTTTTTTAAAAATTTAACGTATCAAACGTAGCAACCGAAAATTTTTCAAAATGGCTGCCGTGATAAAATTCACTCAATTTTTTTTTTTTTGTAATTTTATCGTGAATGCCACTCGTTTTATTACATAAAAAAAAAAAATTAAATAAATATTATTTATTATTATTATTATTATTACGTAATAATGAACTCTTATTTAATTATTGATGAATAAATTTATTTATTTATTTTACGGTTTTTTTATATTTTAAGTATTTCTATTTATTCATTTTTTTTTCCAACATGGCGGTCATAATTAATTAAAATTTTTTTTTTTTTTTTAAATGCAAAACGATGGAAAAAATTTTTTTTCTAAAAAGTTTTTCAAAAAAAAAAAAGAAAAATAATGATAATAATAATAATAATCATTATCGTATAAGGACTTGATTCATTTTAAGAACTCTTGAAAAAAAAAATTTTCTTTCTTTTCTTTCTTTCTTTCTAACTTTTTCCACCGTTAATAATTATTGATAATAATAATAATAATTAATAGATTTTGATAAGTATTCGGATAAAATAATGATAAAGATAAACAAAAAAAAAATAATAAAAAAACGTTAAAAATCATAATGAATATATTTTCTCACATGGTTTTCAAATAATAATGACCATCGAAACTAAGTTAAAAATATAACAGCAACAACAACAACAACAACAACAACAACCAAAAGAACTTTAAATGCCGTGTCACGTTGGTAGACGCCCCCAAGAGTCTTATTTGTAAAAAAAAAAAAAGTGTTTATTCTTTATTTTCAAGTATTTTTATATACGAATAGAATAATAATAATAATAATAAGAGCAAGAAGTAGTCGGTATATAGGTATAAAGTAAAAAGGTATAAAAAAAAAACCTTAATTATCGAGGTGTGAATTTTTAAGAAGAGCGTGCCGAAATATATTGTTGAATACGTTATTCACGGATGTCGGAAAGGACAATAGTCAAAGAAGTCATCCATGTCAGTCAATTCCACATGACCTAATATCGATTCATTGAGTATAAAAAAAAAAAAAAAACCCGACATCTTTGTCTCTTTGACAATAACCGAAGCGAAATGATATTGTCCTCTCTAACTTTTTGACATTTTGGGGTTTTACCATTTATTTTCAATTTTTTTTTTTTCGACACTCATTTCAAATTATAAAATATTCTTGTTTGTTTAGATTTACCTGTGATTAATAGAATTAAAAAAAAAAAAAAAAGGAAAATTTTTTTTTCTAAAGTTGGTAACGCTTTTGCGTTTGTTCGTTCACGAATCGTCGTTTCGCGAATCGACATTCGAAAAAAAACGGTTTTTTTAAATTTATTTAAATTGAAATTTATCGTGATGATATATTTGTGAATTTTTTTTTTAAATCGATTAATCGATTTTATTTAAAAATCAATCAATCATACACTAGTAAGTTTTATTATCATTATTATTATTAATTTTTTCTTTTAATATTAAGAAATTCGCGAAAACGTTAAAATAAATTTTAAGATGGAGGAGGGAATTCAACAATGGGGAAAAAAAAACTTCATTGATGTCGCATAAAACATTTTTTTTTTTTTTTCTGGCCAACCACTTACCATGGCTAATGAAATTCTTCCGGATCATAAACTTTGGTGTCGTTAATAATTTTTCAAAAACGTTCTTTTTATCATTTAACCCAAGTTTTAACAACAAAAAAACTCTCAACAATTATTGACTCAATAAGACATCTGGACATTTTCTTCTTCTTCATCTTCTTCTTCTTTTTTGATAACCGAATCAATTTTATACGGTTGTCTCACGAAAGGGGGGATAGAGAGGACTTTATTTAAAAAAAATTGCGTGGGAGAACGACGACATATTTAATATTACGTAATATAAAAAGTGTTGTTGCTATATGGGAGGTCTAATGATAGGAAAAACTATGAATCTTTCTAGAATATTCCATTAATAAAGACTTCCCGCTGTGTTATTTACGTTTGCAAATTTTTCCCAAACGTTTTTTTTTTTTTTTCTCATATTCCATTGATATGCGAACACACACGTAAGAATATAAAAATAAATTTAATAAAATTTCTTATATGACGGTTATTTTAATGACGTCACATAAAACCGTTAATTTTTTTTAAAAAAATGATTAAATAACGTAATTATAAAAAAAAAAAAAAGGAAATAAATAAATAAACGGAAACGAACGAATTGTGTAATCATTTAAACGAACGATTTTTATTATTATTATTATTTTATTGCTATTGACTTATACAGGTATTATTATTATTATTATAAAGGAAAATACGTAATAGCTCACGTAACGAACTTTTTTTTTTTTTGTAATAAAATTAAAAAAGAGTTAGTATAATTGAAATATTGCGTGATTTATTTATTTATTTAAATAATTTTATTATTGATATTGATAAGTAATAAAAAAAGAGATTGATTTCACATATATTTCTCTCTCTCTCTCTCTCTCATTTTGTATTTTAAAAGGATTCTTATTAAAATATTTTTGTGATGATTATTTTGTTTTTTTGTTTCCCCATCAAATAATTAATTACCCCCGATGAAATGTATATAAATAAATAAAAAATTGTTGAGGTTTTTTTGTTATTTATCCCTCTCTCTCTCTGTTGTGCCCCTTTAGGAAAGGTTAGGGAACGATGGGTTCTAACAAGATTGCACATTTTCGAATTAAAATAATAATAATAATAATAATCATTCGTTTGTGCACCTTTTTTTTTTTTTTTTTCCATGCAATACAAACCACAATACGTATAAGAGTAGTGTAATGGTGGCCCTGCTGTTTTTTGATACTTGACACCTTTTGTGTCCCTGTTTGATTATGGTTTTTCCAACTGAATTGATGACAAAAACTCTTTTAAGTGACTTTAATCATTCAATATTTTGTTGTATTCTCCTCGTATGTCTTATACCCCCTCCCTCCTTCCCTCCCTACCCCCTCTCCCTACCCCCTCACTTTAAATCTTCTAAATCAATAAGAATTTGGGTTTTTTTTAAAAATAATTTTCCGGTTTAATCAAATTATTATTATTTATAAATTTTCATATTGGAAAATAAAACGTGAAAATTATTTTTTTTTAACAAAAAAAAAAAAAAAAAAAAAAAGGATAGAAAGGGAAAAAGATTATTGATACTCGGGAACGCCACCACCCTTTTATAACGGGAATTTTTTGATTGGTTAATTTTTTTTGGTTGGTGTATTTTTTCTCTCTCCCTTTTCCTTTTTTTTTTTTTTTTTTTTTTTTTGGGGGCACGAAAAGGCTGTCGTTAACAGTTGTTGGGAAATTTTTGATTATAAAAGGGAGATTTTTTTTTTTTTTTTTTTTTCATTTTCAAACCCCTTTTCCAACTACAATTAACTTTTATTAAGGGAGTTTTTTTTTTTCCCCCCGACAAAAGGGGGGTTAGTTTTTTTTTTTTTTTTTTTGTTAACCCAATTGAATAAAAAATAATATTTAAAAAAAAAAAAAAAAATCAATAAAAGTCAGACATTTTGTTTTTTTTTTTTTTATCAATTAAAAATTAATGTTCACTCTCAATAATAATCATAAATTATTCTAAATTATTACAATAATTAAAAAATTATTATTATTATTATTATTATTTATGTAAATATTATATCAATAAAAAAATTTTAATAAACCAGATAATGACATCTTGAAAATGTAAATTTTTTTTGCATTTTAAAATAAAAAAAAGAAAAGGTTGAAAGGATAGTAGAAAAGGTTTTGAGCTTTTTTTTTTTTAGCTTCATCCCTAAACTCTTATGATATGAAAAGTGAATCATCATCATCATCATTATCATCATCATCATCACCCAAAGCGAGAAACATAACAGATATACGTATATGAAAATAAAAAGGGAAGTTACCCCAATCATTTTAAAAAAAAAAAAAAAATACCACAATGTTTATCTTATAAAATAAAAAGTCACTCTTGTTACTACTATTATTATTATTATTATTTCTTTCTAAACTCTGTAAATTGTAAGCAAACCTTATTATTATTATTATTATTATTATTTTGTTTACCCCCTCCTTGAAATTTTCGTCAAAACGAATCATCCCTTTTGAAAAAAAAAAAAAAAAAATTTGCTATAATGAACATTGTCATGATTCCTTTCAAGTAACCAAGAGAGAAACATAAAAATTTATCATGCGGGTAGTTTAAAAAGGACACTGATACGATACGGATGTTGTCCTTTTCAATCAATTATTATTATTATTATTAGTTTATAAATAATTGTTTAAACAAAAGTAAAAATGTCTTCTTCGTTATTTCGACCGTGGATTGAAGAATACAAAATTAAAAAATGTGATGATAATGATGATGAGGATGATGTTAAATACGAAAGTAATTTAAATAAAAATTGTATAGAATCGAATAAAGATGATGTTGTGATGATGACCTTTGACACGTCGACGACAGATCGCGAAATAAAATATAAAAATGTTAAAGAACATATTAAAAAAAGAAGTGAAAAATATAATATTCAAAAAAAATTAAAATTAAAATTAAAATTAAATACCGATGAGAAAAATTTTAAGGAACCGGAAATGAATAATAAATTAAATTCCGATTTGATTTCCGGTCCGCAACAATCGGGAATGTATCAGAATTTCGATGGATTTTCTAATTGTTTAGATTATAACATTTATAATAATAATAATAATAATTATTACGGTGGCGGCGGACATTATTATCAATATCATCCGGAATTTATTGAATCGAATTTGATTTTCCACGATTTTCCGCCAAATTTATTTGAAGAATATGCGAAATTTTTAACGGAACAACAAAAACAAACGGCGGAAAAAACGAGAAAACAAAGGCCGAAAAAATTTAGGTGCCCACATTGTCAAGTTGGATTTAGTAATAATGGACAACTTAAAGGACATATAAGAATTCACACGGGTAATTAATTAATTTTATTCTTATAATAAAAAAAAAAAAAATTACTTATTTTAAAAAATTGATTTTTATCGATTAGGTGAACGACCTTTTAAATGTGATGTAGAATCCTGTGGGAAAAGTTTTACAAGAAATGAAGAACTCACAAGGCACAGGCGTATACATTCAGGTCTTCGTCCTTTTCCATGTTCCGAATGTGGAAAAAGATTTGGAAGGAAGGATCATTTGAAAAAACACATCAAAACGCATTTTCAACAAAAATATCAATTAGTTCCAATATTACCTAGTCCATGTCCGCCATATCTCTACGGATTGTGATCATATATTTAATTAATTAATTAACCCTGGTGTGTATATTGTTAATAAAATGGCGTCCGAATCATTGTTAGTTTCATTCGGTGTAAATTTTAAGTTAATATTTCTTTTTTTAATCAATGGCTGCCGCGATTAATAAGAAAACAATTACGATAAAATGTTTTGTGATGTTTTTTTTACAAAAAAAAAAAAGAAAATTGTATTTATTTTTAGTATTGTGTGACGTAATACCAAAAAGAAAACATATTACCAAAAAAAAAAAAAGAAAATAAATTTAAAACTTTAAAAAAATTTTTTTTATTTATTGATTTTGTAAATCTTGTATTTCGAAGCGAAAAAAAGAATAATAATAATAATAAAATGGATAATTTTTTAGGATTACTCATAATAATAATAACAACAATATATTTACCGCAACAACTTTTTTTTTTTTTTGTAAAACAAAATGGCGAATGTAATAATAATTAAAAGGGTGGTCGTTCACAAACCCATGGGGGAAGGAAAACAAACGCCAATGAAAAAACATTTTTATTTTAAAGGGGTTTTTTTTACCCACCCTTAATAAAAAAAAAATACAAAACGACACGTACTACTTTTTCATGTTACGAGTTTAATCAACCGTTACGTTTTTTTTGAAATTTTGTCTAATTACACGTCAGGAATGACGTCATAAAAATGCAACAGCCAAAAGAAATCGTTTACACGTTTTATTATTCGGCGTACGGCGTCCGTTATTTTTTTTTTAAAGAAAAATTCAAAATTTTATTAATGTTTTATTTATTTATTTATTTTTCTTTTCTTAAATTGTCTTTTTTTAATAAACGTAATTGTAAAATTTATATATTTTAAATAAATTTTTTTTTTTTTTTGTCAAATGTTTATAATACACCGACTAATAATGAAGAACCCCGCGGTGAAAATTTTGACCCGCAGGAAATTCGTAAAATATACAAAAGATCGGATCGTACAAAATTTAAAGAAAAAGGGAAACGTAAAAATGTTTTTTAAGTCATAAATCACTTTGTTTGTCATCATATACGATATCACCTTTATTATTTTTTTTCTTTTCTTAAGTAAAAAAAAAAAAAAAAAAAATACAATGAAAATAATGGCGATGGTCATTATTATTAGCCATTTCCTCACTAACGTAAATTAATTTAAATTATTTTGATTAATTTTTAAAAGGAATAAATTCTCACGGAGGGAAAAAAAAAATAAAGAAAAGAAAAACTTTTACGTAACGTTTTTTAATATCTATTATTATTATTATTTAAAATTTTTACTTCAATTATTTTTAACAATAAAATTTATTTTTAAAAAAAATAATAATATAACAATTTTCTATTACGTAACGTCAATTTCTACTTTTTTTTGTTTTTTTTTTTTTTTTTTTTTTTTTTATAATGACGTCATAAACTTAATGATGATAAACCTTTTAAATACATTTTTTTCCTCCCCCCCCTCCATTTTTTAGGGAATTTGGATTAAAAATTAAATTAAATATTTTAATATGAGTTTTATATAAAAATAAGAAGAAAAAATTTTTATTCGGGTAAATTTTGAATTTAACCGTTATAAAAAGTTGTTTTATATTTTTAGGTATTTGTGAAACCTGTGTTAAAAACTTCAAACCAAAATGAATTATTATGATACTGCTTTATCCATTTTCTAGAAGTAGTATCATATTTGAAATCAAAATGGTGTCTGTATGAAGTTTTTTTAAAATATTTATTTTTATTTATTGTTATTTCAAAAAGTTATTAAATTTTGGTAAATGATGATTTAATATGGTTGCACAAGTTTTTTGCCTTACATCCAGTGGTGGTTTTCCACTTTTTGTTAGAAAAAAGGGAGACGATCAATCTGTAAGTTTATTTTTTTATTAATAACAAATTTCAATTATTATTATTATTATTTTTAATATATTCAACGGTATTTATTTTCAGTTATCTTTTTCATATATAGCTTCACTCAATGGCGTTCATATGTTTGCAAAATCACAAGATGTATTATTGGAAGACACAGTTTCGGATGAAAACGTTATTTGTTGGAAAGAATATCATGAGAGGTAAAAAAAAAAAATTTTGAAATTTCCGTTAAAATATATATTTATTAATTTTTTTTTTTTTGTTGCAGTTTAATTTTAATTGGTATGTCATCAACATCTACTTCTGCTGGCTTAAAAGAGTTTTTAGATTTGGTTTTTGATGCGATCGTCATGTGCCTTGGAATTGATGAATTGATTAACATTAAAAATCCAGAAAGATTAAAAAGAGAACTTAGAGTTACTTATAAATTAATTGATAAATTATTGGAAAATTTGGAATCAAATGAAAAATTACAATCGAAAATTGATAGCGTGGAAATTGTTTCAAATGGTTGTTTGAATAATTTCGTTGAAACTATTTTGTGCCAAGTAAGTTTTTAAAAAAAAAAAGAAAAATTATTTGACATGTTAAATTAAATTGCATAAAGTTAATTTGTTATTATATTTTTTTAATTTCAGGAGAATCAAGCTTTACAAAATTGTTTGGAAAGTTTTTTAGAAACATTAGAAAGTCATTTCGGATGTATGACCATTTATGGTAGAGTTGCCGTCGCAACTCCAAGTTGGTGGAAATTAACATCGAATGAAAAAATATTATTAAGTGTATTTATTAATGCTCTGAATGAAAGTACTTATTCTTCGGATGTTCCAATATTTTTACCTCAAACTAGCCCTTCTGTTCCTTTTCGTCTTGTAACTATTCATTTACTGACTGGAGTTGAAATTTCAATGCTTTGCGGTCCACATCCTTCCATAACAGAA